CTGTGTACTGGTTGGAACTGGTGCGGAGGCGCCAGATGATTCGTAGTATACATTGTCGAAAGTAACCAGCACATTGAAACCAAACGGGGTGGTTAGCCCTGTCTGGAGTTGCTGAACTCTTATCTCACCCAGACAGACGTCCAGGCTACCCGGTCGGCACCACGAGGAGGTGGTTCAGCTCGCCGACTGGCTGGTAACAAATATGTAATGGCTGGATAGTGTCTCTGGATATCTTTTTCACCGGTTTATACCCCATTTTTGGGGGACAAAAAATACCTTATTTTGTTTCAGGACCTAGGTGTTTATGTGGAATAACAGGCAACTGGATTGAACGAAAGTTTGGATGTGCGTACCTTGCACCAAGTAAACTAGTCCATAGTTAACCCGTATAATGTAGTCTCAGTTTATGGACATCATGGTCCATCAAATTTGAACGTAAGTCAGCTGTGATGCCAAACGGTACTCGTGACCCCAGGTTCATGAAAACAATAGCCAACAGTGGGGTCATAACTGCCGAAATTCCCATGCCTATCATTCCCATGATAAGTTCTTCAGAATGGGAACAAAAGTATTCCTTTTAGAATGCTATCCGTGTAACGGTGATACTACTGATCGGGAGGCACGCGAGTAGTATGTGTTGTTCATAGAATTTCGCTTTGCGTCGATTGAAAAATGGAATCCTGCTGCGGAATTCGCGGGGCCACTTTGTAACATTTGCTTTTATTTGACCGACGAATGATTGGAGGCAATGAATCTTCAGGAAGACTCGTTCGGGAGAAGATCTGTGTCCAGTTTTTGTAACTAAGATTAGAGTTCTGCTTCCTTGTTCAATGGTCTGTAACCGGTTAGTTGGCATTTCAGAATAGATAACTCCGCAGCGAAGGCCTTCTTCCTTTCCGCACCGGAGTTATTGTACTTCGTTTTTTCGCATCCAGTGAAACAAACAATTGATAATTTAGTATGATACATTTGGCAGCAGGATCGTGTGACAACTGCCTTTTATTCACACCTGCTCCGTTCCTGATTCCCCAAACTGAAACTCAATATTCAAGTGTGAGTGGATCGAATATTTTTGTTCGTCAGACTGTAGCTTTAAACTACCATCATGTGACGCGCACTAGAAGAAAAACCGAAAACGGACCGCTGGAAACCGCAGCTAGTCATGATAACTCCGAAGGCCTTCTTCCTTTCCGCACCGGAGTTATTGTACTTCGTTTTTTCGCATCCAGTGAAACAAACAATTGATAATTTAGTATGATACATTTGGCAGCAGGATCGTGTGACAACTGCCTTTTATTCACACCTGCTCCGTTCCTGATTCCCCAAACTGAAACTCAATATTCAAGTGTGAGTGGATCGAATATTTTTGTTCGTCAGACTGTAGCTTTAAACTACCATCATGTGACGCGCACTAGAAGAAAAACCGAAAACGGACCGCTGGAAACCGCAGCTAGTCATGTTTTTAACCGAAAATATTCATAGGGAATCTCGAAGATCAAGCGTTCTTAGAAAGTTGTTTCTGTCATCTAATGTCGTATAAAGTCGTATCCATCTAAGAGGATAGCTCGAACATGCGAACATGTGACCTGTAGGACGATTTGCCAGGGCGCATTCTACGTCGATCGAAAGCCTGTGTTCGACGAACTAAATAGAAGCTCACTAATTACTATGAACAAAAAAGCCTGTTTCTTTGCTCATACCCGTCAGGAACATCCTGAACGTTTTGGCTCATCCAAGCCATTGTTTTCATGCTGTATTCAGGTCTCTTGTTTTCTCACGACAAAAGATTCCATTGTTTCAAAATTTGACGGCGTCTAGTAAGAGTGTGAATTTTACGCTTTGCAGTACAAGACTAAGCTTGACTTATGAGGATACACGAGTGACCATGCAACTTGGTCTCCTAAATAGTGTGTTCCACTGGGAGGCACTGGCTGACCGAAAAACGAAATCTTTAAGTGACAGGGGTCGTTATTCTCATCAACAGGTTGACGAATTACCCAGCGCTATGTATGGGGATAAATGATATCAGAACTTTGACGAAGTTGAGTTAACACAAACCACTTTTATCAAAGCGCAACAGGCGTAACAAAGTTTACATCTAAATAAAGAAGACTGCCGTATTCGTGTGAGCATAATGACTGCTCACATCATGACTAAAATCTCTTTGACAACCAGGACCGGTTTCGCGCTTCTTCGGGCTCATCAGGTACGCGCAATCCACAAGTTTTCGTCAACCTCATGTTCTACTTGGACCCAAATTGCACGAGGTCAGCGTCAAAAACTCATCTGATACCGATATGGTTTTGAAACGATATCGCCTGGAACCCAGATGCATCTCTCATTTGGGATGTTTGGCACATTCGATTGCTTATGATCACCATAAATGAGAGATCCGGCTGGGATCCAGCTGAGTCCCGAAACAAAATCAAATTGATAATCAAATGAGTGTACCAGTAGAATTTCATACAGTATGGGTTCAACTACTACATAAGGTTGACGAAAATTCCGGGAGTATGCCTGCCTGATGAGCCCCAAGAGGCACCGATCGTGAGCTCGAGAGGAGTTTTCGGCAACCTTCTGAGTACATGAAATGTATCGCGATATCTCGAATAGCTTACCAACTAAAACGTGAGGTGGCCTGGACTGCCGTGATTCTTAAAAGCTCATTTAAACTCTTTTTTTCGTTAGACCTTGGAGCGTGCCGAAGTTGAATGCTGCGCTGAGCAATTGCTTTTCTGTATGCCATCAGAAAACTAGACTAAACTATTTCATTTCAACTTTTTAACTTAACAGCAAAAATGCGCATCATCATCTGCGACACGATGATTCGGGCGCATATCCTACTTACGTGGGCTGGAGAAGATTTGAAGGATATAATAGTGATTGAGGCGGACCGGGAGGCGTTGCATAAGATGAACGACCAGACAAACAATATGCCCAAAATGCACACCTATGAAGAGATGCTGGTATGTTCTGTGTCATGAAATTTTAGCTCAAATCTGTCGTGAGCGTTCGTATTCTCGGGTTTTACTTAGGCCTCATGGTGTACACAATATCTAAAGTTTTATCCAATTTTATTCAGCCGAGCCAAAAAATCAACGTAATAGACTCAGGGCTCGTTAGTCATGCGAAACTGGGAAACGGTTATTTGGTCTTCGGAATGCCAGTACGTGCCCAAAATGCACCTCAGTGATAATGATAGAAATGCCAATAGGAATATTCTATCAGGAAGTGAAAAAGTCTGGTCTCTTGATTCAGGTTTGACAACGAACCAATAGGTTGAATAAAACAATCTACATTGTGGGCATTTATTGTGAAGTGCATTTCAAGGGTCAATGCACTGATCACTCATCAAGGTGCGCGGACATTTTCTACAGGCTTAACGGGCAACTTTGGGACAATGACGTCGATAACCCTGAAAAATTATATTTGAGCAACCAAGGTAAGTGCCAAATCAGATATTTTATCATTTGTTACAGCAGCTAATGATTGCCTCTGGCTTTTATACCTTCAGTGAACGCACATACAATCTGCAAGAACGGCATATGAGGTAAATGAAGTAACACATTCCCAGAGCTGTCTTACATCGCCGTCATACTGAGGGTAATTTAATTGGAATCCGGTCATTTTGCACTGAAATCTCACCAGATTACTACAGTCTACGCAGCCGTCTGAAGGACAACTTGTCTTCTAATTTTTTGCCACTTTTACAGTCAAACGCTGAATCTTTCAGTTGTAAAAGTTTGTACTTCATATCTTACCAGCGGAAGCTCTGGTTGTTCGCTGCAACAAACGTGAGTAGAACAGGCATATAAGACTGAAGAGTGTCTTCCTCTGTTACCTTTCGCATTTTGTGAGCTGTGAAAGCTTTCGAGTCAAGTTAGTTAAGGGAACAGGGTTCATGTTTTCATAAAGGAAACTCTTCGACAGACTACGACCGGTTTCGCCCTTCTTGGGGCTCATCAACTAGGCGCAGTTCCCGAGTTTCTGTCAACCTTATGTTTGTCCAGACTACGAGACAAACACAGAAGAGCTCGCGGACCGGCTGCAACACTGAGCTGCAATGATGTGTGCTTGGATGGTTTAGGATTCAATATCGCATTCAGCGGGATTAATTTCCCGTCATACGGATTAATAGAGAAAAATTTGTTTCCGACAACACAGACACAAAGCCAGTTGAGTTCCTGAAACTAAATGGTTAACATGACCGATTCTTGCAAACAATCCACAAGTCAGTACCGTCGGCCGTTGCCACAAAAAGATAGAAAGCAAGAATAAATGGATGCGACATTCAGGCAATTTGTATTTCTCTCATTATAAGTGTTCTGCTATTCAGTAGGATTTAGTTGCACTTACTAGCTCAACCTGTTCACTAAAATGCGAAAAGTAGACCGTTCGATGAACTGGTGAATCAGGCATACCTAAACATACTTAATAATGATTAAGCGGAATTGGAAGTGGGACAGTGGGACACTGGGACAGTGAGACAGTGAAGATGACGCAAATCGACTGAGTTGGTAAAAGATATCGTAGTGTATTCCTGTCAGTCTTTCGTGCTCATATCTGGCCTGCTATTGGTGTAGTCTAGCTAATTTGAAAGACATCGTTAGTTCGTTTCTCCAGTGTAGCCACCAAGTGAGCATCAGAAGTCAGTCGAACTGAAAATGGGCAAGATCCTGAACTGAACTTTTCTGCAAGCTTTTCTGGGAGAACGGTGCCAAGATCACTTGTTCCTTCGGGATATTGTCGGAAGCCGGATTCAACCTCACGTATGTTTCCACAAAGAGAGACTACGTGAAACAGGATTCTACAGGCTATTTATTTTTCGGTAGTGACCGAGAATCGTATTAACTCTGAATCCGAATGTAGAAACACGGTTTGTTATAACAAAATCACTGGTGGCAGATTTGAGTACAATATGAAACAAACAATATGGAGCAGACACGACCACATTAGAAGGGAGCGTGTCACCGGCGTTTGACGGAGACCACTAATGACTCTCTACGTCTGGTCAACCTGGTCTCGAACAATTATTTTGCCATGTTGATTACAATGTCTCCTTATCTTCGTCTGATGCGTCAGCCGCTTCCTTTTAGTGATCCGCTTTCTAGCTGTTTCCACATCTGTTGGCGTTTTAAGTGTGGAGCTAAAATTACTAACGGTGACCATTCCTGATAGGATTTTCGTCAAAGACAGCGGGTCGTATCCCTATTCGGTGACCGGCTGACAGCAAGCTTAGAATCGTTACGACGTATTGTCTACTGTAATGCTACTTCAGTAGTTAATAAACAGCATGAAGATCCCTATTGTTTACATGCATCATCACATCACAGCGCGATTCCTGGATAGAATGTTTACTCTTTCCCTTTTAAACTTTGCATGAGCTTGTATGAAAGGTTGTTCAACTTCTGAAACCACCGGTAGTATTAAATTATTTTGTCCGGTTGCATGGAATCACAACATTTAATATATGTAATTTTTGTTTAAGGTACACGGATCCAAGCTTCCTCCTGAGAAACAGGTAAGTTCGAACAATACGGGTTCGTTAGAAACAGATAAATGGTGGCAAATTTCAAAAGAATGTCAAAAATAAGAGTTGTTTAACCAGAATCTAGTTCTCTGGACTTAGAGGTAGGGTAGTGACTGTTGGCAGAATTAGTATACCCCTACAAGTTTTTGAATACGCTTCTCCATGTGCGTATCACTCCTGTAATCTTCCGCAGGAGATTCATCGGCTTATTGCTCCCATACTTCCAAAAATGGAACATTCCTACTTGGAAAAAATGAATTGCAGCAGAAAACCACCGAAGCATCTTTCTAAACGCTGATAGTTCCGCAAGTAAAATGACAAAAATGAAATACATATAATGCGATTTCCGTACACTATTAAACCGAAGGAAATAGTAGAAGAGATCGCAACTACGCAACCATATTTATGAACGATTTCTTTGCGGCATGTTTCACCTTTGACTGATGATACATTAGTGAAACCTGGGGGTTACTTAATACGGTCGACAAATGCAAAATGCGGAAAATATACCATTTGATCCGCACTATGAAACAGTAAATTCTGTTTTCCCCAACTTTACTTCAGGAGGCTAACCCAGACGATTTGTTCCTTGTGTGTTACACAAGCGGTGCCACAGGTAAGAATTTGGTACCTTCATGAAAACGGTGCTATAGTGTTTTGTTCTCACCCACAGTGGGCCCCCATTAAATTAATCGATTATTCCAAAATGTTTTACAATAAAAAGGACTCTTAGGAAAACTGTCGTGGAAATGGACCTTCGGAAATCAAGGTTTAGGTAAAGAAGTATTTTACTGCCAATGAATTGATTCCACCAGTTGTGTCCATTGTCGTTACTACCAATAAGGCCATGGAAGAAAACACCCGTCCCGCAAAACCCCAAAACTACAACCAATAATTTGTCCAGTGGATTTCAAGCGTGTGTCACGCTACCTGGCTGGGAAGTCCTGAGCGGCGGTCAATGGATCGTCACAACCAAGACAGTTAATGGGTCGTCGTCCGATGGGTCAAACACATCAATCACATCGCTCAAGTGTGAACACGTTCACCTGTACGGACATGAAAATTCAGATGCGTCCAACGTGCGTTGGTGGAGTAGTGATTACACGCTCGCCTCGCTTGTCAGGCGTTCGGGGTTCAAATCCCGGCACGGCCATCGGATATGCACTGCTTATGAGCTCTAATAAGAGCGAAACCCGACTTCAATGCTTCCATTTGGTGTGGAATAATTACGCCAGAACAGGAGGACGACCGTTCAAACGAGAGTGGTGTGGCTATGAACAAAATAACTATCCCGCAAAACCTCAGAAGTGCAACCAAATGAAAGTAGTATTGTTAATGAGAAAGTCCGCTGGGGATTGTTGGTGCTACTTTCCGTGACGCTCAATTCCCGTGCAGAAATTGAAGTCTGGTCAACACATATATTGCCTAGTCGAAATCTACTTCGACTCAGCTACATCATAGCTCAGGTAGAATATTTGTGGACAACTTTGTAGTAACATCGAGGAATTTAATATCTTGGAAGTACCTGGTTGTACTGTCCTAACTTTGTGATGACAGTGAGTTTGAGATGGACCGATTCGCGTGAGATTCCTTAGCATCCGAGTAGTAATAAGTAAGTAGAAATAAGTAGTAATAAGTTTTGGTTCATTACGATCACTTTCACGTCATTTATCTCCTTTCTGCTGGGAGGGAATGTCTAATTTTTTGTTGTTGTCAGGTTTCACGGCTGACTTAAGCTGAGGTCATTAGAACTGATTACGGGGGTAAAGTGACTTACACGATTAGTTCGCATGCGTAGTTGAGATGGCGTCAGGTATTTCAGTTGGTTGGGGTCAACAGCATGTGTTTGGCTAAATGTGTCCGAAGGCAGTCTGGATCTGACGATTCTGCCTTGTAAGTAGTAGCTTTCCGCTCTAAATATTACTGGGTAACAGTAGGTTTGCCGGTTTCGCATTAAATATAAAGTCTACCATTTCAGTGTATTTTCTTGATGGTGTCTTCTTTGGTTGTCTGGAAGTGAAATTTTAAATCCTTTCTTCAGTTGTTGTTTACTTTGGGCCGTATCACGCAGTCAGGCGGGATGGCAAACGAGGGTCTACATCCAGCTTGTTGGAGGTTTCCGCCACAACAAACGACCTGCAAAGGAAAGCCCCCCCCCCATTTCACGTACCTGGATTATGATATCCTGTCTGTATGTTATTTTGAGTACCAACTAAATAAAAGCCTTCTAGAATTCCTCATAAAGATGAGCCGACTGAAGGCTGCCCAATAAGCAGGCGACCTGTACGTTCCGTTGATCACAGCCATTTTCTAAACGTAGGTGATGAACAGCCTGCTCATTCGAGCTGATTTACCCGTTCCACCCAGCAGTCACACGAAGGGCAGTAGACAACAAATCTTTGCAGTATGACTGTTTCGCAGTGCGGGTATAATGATAGACATATTTAACTGTTTGCATTGTAAACGTGTCGTTATACTGGGATACCTGTCCACTGTGCTAGGTTTGTGTTTGCTTCTCAGTATAGATTGAAAATTAACTTGAAGTTCAGTGGTGTGATAGGGCTAATGGTTAAATTCTTTTTCCACTCCATTACGGCATCCCACCTTAAGACCGAATTCAGGTGTACACTTCACATCAGGTAGCACAAAAAGAATGCAATGTTTAACACTGCTTTCTTTTGTTTCCACCTCTAGGTTTCCCTAAGGGTGTGATGCACACACACCGTAGTTTCCTTCGAGCGACCACAATGTCCACTGCAGTTTTGGCTATCACAGTGAGTTTTGAGCAGAATTAGCATGCCAAAAGATTTTGTCGAGCTGTTTGAATATCATTGTTATGGCCGTTTAGCCCGTTTAGCTACAAATTTTCACATGAAACTCTTGCATTGAAGAAGCATTACTCATACGCTTGTCGAATATTTTGACAGTCCGCGAGTGGTTTCACCATCCTTCGGGCTCATCTGTTGAGTGCAGTCCAAGATTTTTCGTCAACTTATGTTTTGGCAAACCCCAAATTGTGCGCTATTCGCTAAATGCACTCATTTTCAGACTAGTTTGGTTTAACTTTCCCTTTTGGTTTTAATCGGGCAATGTCGTCGGTGTTTAACTCTTGTTATGGACTGAGTCCAAAGGTGTCGATGTAAGGTGAAAATCTGCCCGAGATGTTCGATGCCAAAAAGATAGCCACACGCTGCCGAAGAACCTACATGCTGGATGAAAGTGTCCAACGGAACGAAAAAACAGAATGTATTGACTAGATTACACTATATCGTTAAGTACTGGAAGGTGGCATGCAAAGGTGCTTTTCACAGGTGTGTTTCACAGATAGATAGATAGATAGATAGATAGAAAGATAGATAGATAGATAGATAGATAGATAGATAGATAGATAGATAGATAGATAGATAGATAGACAGACATAGATTTTGAGCTTCCAAACAAAGCGCTCTGTCAGTATCAATTCTTGTAGCAGGAGATTTCGCGTGAACGCTGAAAGTAGTACGAACTGGTTTGGATCCATCTTGTAAATCAAACTACAGTGTATATCTGACTCGCTGGCAACTTGTATACATTGTATTTTGGCACCTTCCAGTATAGAGCTCAAATAATAATTAAGGTTTCCACAACCTTATTCCGCCTCGGGTTTAGGCGTGAGGATGTTACGGGCATCAGCTTCACTCTGGGCCTTGTGTAATATCAAACTCATTTCCGTCTATATCCTAAACAGGGACTTCCAGAACATGGTAATCTTCATATCTCTTACCTGCCCTTGTCGCACATTATGGAGCAGGTAATTATGGTGAGTAAATTGCCTTGTCAACGTTTATTAACAGGTTTTAAATCCTGGCCGTTTGTGGCATGAATTTTAACTCATGGTGTGGGGCGCTTTTCGAGGAGATGAGTCACCGGTTTGAGGCGTGATAGCCGGGCTGCGTCAAGCGTGCGCTGATGGGGTTCGACTGATATGTCAGCTAAGCGAAGTTCAAATCCCGATACGGTTAGAAATATGTATTGTTAATAAACTATAATAGGAGAAAAATAAGGTCCGGTTTTGCACTACTTAGTATGGAATGTGTAACGAAAGAGAAACTTGACTGGTAACAACCTGAGTTGCACACAAATTCTATGGATCTGATCACAACTGGTTAAGCCAATTTCTGGCGTTTTGTATCAAGCATAAAATGTTTGCTTTACAAGCTGATACTTTGGTGAATGGATACAGTGCATAAATTTGTGGAGGATATTTTACTTGATGAAGGAGACTACTCACAAGATTGCTGAAAACTCCTCGACAACCCACGACCGGTTTCGCCATTTCGCTCATCAGGTAGGTGCAGTCCCCGAGGTTCCGTCAACCTTATGACCTAAATGAACCTAAATCGGACCATTTTCAAGAAATACACTCAGTTGCAAGTCGATTTGGTATGCACAAGAGACTCAACTGAATCTCGCAGAATATCATAAACGAGAGATTCAGTTGAGTCTCTCGTGAAAAGCACATTGATTTGCAGATGAGTGTTTTCAGTCAGGTTAAAAATGTTACCTTGTTTGTTATCAGCTAGATCCTACTACCCTGCGGCTAGCCACCCAGTTTTGAGTTCAACCTTTGAAAAAAGTTTTGTTCCTCTAGCACATGCTTTCCCTACAGCGACAGCCCCCTTGTCAGGTACCGAGTGTGAACTGCACTGGATCAATTAAAGAGAGGCTACAAGGGAATGCTTAACCCACAAATGTGTATAACTTCCGTTTTGAGGTTCTGATCTCACACACTACGTTCACTGCGAGAGGACTTCACTTCCCGCTGACTTGCCCAATGCTTATCCTGGATCATGCAGCCAGGCCGCAGCCGAATGACTCTAGAAGGTACGTGTTGCAGGAACAAGGCAACACAATCGTCCTATTCAGGATAACCTGCAATAGATTTTGTGGCATGCCATAGTAATAATAATAATAATAATAATAATGCCATAGTAACACCACTGAGCATTATCAATCAATTTGTACCAGGGAATCCTCTACTCGCTTGGTTACGCTCCACCCCATTCTGCTTTGGTTGAGACGTGAACAAATGGATTATGGTATGAGCGACAACTGAATACATATGGAGATGACCGTCTGCCACAAAAGACCGTACAAGTTGATGGGAAATGCGCAAAATTAAACTATCTGCTATTAGGTCACGGGTGCTCATCTCTTTGGGTCTCTCGAGATGGATCTGCAATAGAGTGGCATGCCATAGTAATAATAATAATAATAATAATAATGCCATAGTAACACCACTGAGCATTATCAATCAATTTGTACCAGGGAATCCTCTACTCGCTTGGTTACGCTCCACCCCATTCTGCTTTGGTTGAGACGTGAACAAATGGATTATGGTATGAGCGACAACTGAATACATATGGAGATGACCGTCTGCCACAAAAGACCGTACAAGTTGATGGGAAATGCGCAAAATTAAACTATCTGCTATTAGGTCACGGGTGCTCATCTCTTTGGGTCTCTCGAGATGGATACCGATGACGTTGCCCAACAAGGATCAAATAACTATGCCGTGCTTGAGGGATTTTCGGCATAGATTAGCTTTTCTGACACAGCGAAATCCCTGTTGAAACTTACGAAATCTCCCCTAATAGTCATCAATCAGTGCAGCTTATTCGTGCCACTAGTAGCCACACTTCAAAACATTAAAGGATAGAGGCAAGGTGATAAATGCTCAGATGACGGTTGAATCGATCAACTAGTTACAATAGAACCGACCCTAAAATGGGCAGTTTGCTATGTCTATTTTCGATATTAACGTTGATTACTATGAAGTCCTACCACTCTATCTCACACAAATGTGACGAACGATTAAAAGGAAGAATAAAAGCTGATAGGATAAATCACTCTCATATTATCAACCGCATGAGGTCCCAGAAGTCCTCAAATTCTTCAGGATGTTCACTATGCATCCGTACTGCAGTCTCCAAATCGAAATGGTTATTATGAGGCCAATTAGAATCTAGCTAATCCAGAATGTAGGTTGAGTAATGAGTTAGAGGTCCCGAACAAGCCGTCCATGTGTGAAACCGAATTGCACACAATCTACTAGAATTACCCCAAAGCAAACGTTCAACCCGAAAATCCTAGCTGAACAAGCGGGATGTTGGATTGACCGACCTGTGAAAATGTAAAGGATAATCTCGTCTGGACTGCACAGAAAGTGGCGTTGAACAATTAATTATCGAATTGAACAATTGATTATTTTGCTTTGATGGAGAAAGGAAAGACTTCAGTATGATTTCCAATTTTGGCTGACAAATAACCATATACCTGACTTTAGAAAAAGTGCATTTCTCTTATTCAGCCATGTTTCTTTTCCTCTCTGGTTTCCAGACCGTGTGCCTCCTGAAAGGGACGCAGATAGCATTTCTCACCAAAGATTTGACGGGATTGAGGAAAGACTTGTGTTATTATCGTCCCACGTTCTTCTTTGCCGTGCCTCGTATTCTAAACCGGGTGTATAAAGAAGCACTTCAAAACATGGAATTAAGCTGGTTTACGAGACAATTGTACAATTTGGCTGTGAAAAGAAAATGCGCAGAACAAAAAAGGTGAGACATTAGCTGCATTGACTTTCTGTTGTTAGGTTAGCAGTGTTAAATAACAATTACTTCTGGCAAAGTTCTTCACTTTGTGAGAATTTTCCTGAAGAAGGAGTGCTTGAAAGCTGAGAACCAAATTATCTGGGCTTGAACTTGTTTAAAGTCAGCTATGGAGTCGAAAAAAAATTAGTGGCATTTTCTCCGGCAATACAACTGACTGCTAGAGAATCAGGCAGTCTATGAATAGTGAGAAATATACATGCATCTTGTGCGATTCCACCTTCTGAGCTTTAGCAGAATCTTCGTTTGAACTCGCGCCACCAAAGCTCACCAGATAGGCCCTCTACACGTCTGCGAATCCGAGCCTCAGTGTACAAGGCAGTGCTACGAAGAAACTTTACGCTGCTGGTTCTGTTCACAGTCAATCAACGCCAGATTCTGTTCCAAAGAAAAAAATTTCCGATGTAATCAAGAGACGATAATCATAGATCCAAATCAGTCGCCGGCTACAAAGTGCGGTAAAGATAACCTTACGTTTACGGCAAAAATAAAAGAATGCTGTTTACACCTGTACACGATTGTACATCCTTAACCGTGTTGACAAATTCGAATGCACCAATCTACTTAGACAGAATGAAAAGACAGCTCTCTGACTGCACTGCGAAAAATTCGCCAAAGTAAGCATAATGCTCCACCAATAACGAGAATCGACTTTATGAAACACCTAGTGGACAAAACCCTTCCCGAATTGTCGGCCGTAGTAAGATAGTGTGACAAGTTTGACGTGAGTATGGCCTCTTCTTCGTGAGTATACACGAACGACCCGAAGTCCAATCCCGTTAATCATTTCCAAAGCCAATTTCTCGAGTTCTTCATCATTTTGCGGCTTCATTGCCATGTGTCAACAATTTACGTCTAGGGCCCAACTCTATGTGATTTAAACCACATTAGTATTCATCTCTAACGTACTGACAACTGTCCAATAACTGGTTTCGCCGTCTCTTAGGCTAGATTGGTGAATAAGTTGTCGATAAATTGCATGACTTGTATTAGCCTTCTCGTTTGCGGTACATTGTAGGGATCATTTATTTTTATTTGCGAAAATAGTATCCTTGTATTTTTATGAGGACATCAGTTAGTGACCCCATAAAACTTCATTCTGAAATGTTCACTATGAAGGGTTTACCATATAGATTGCAAATGCGGTAAATAACGGAGGTCGAAATGTCTCAACGGGTAGCAGAATTTCGGCTCACTTCATTATTGTCGCCACGCGCTTGTCATATGCACACATCCTCCAATTTTGCTTTACTTTTCTAGGGGGGTTTTTCGCCGAGCCGGTTTTCTTGATCGCTTCTTTTTCCGTGAACTTCGGGGGCAATTCGGAGGTCGGATACAGTTCGTTGCAAGTGGAAGTGCTCCACTGCAATCTGAGGTGCTCCAGTTTGTAAAGGCAGCCTTCTCCTGTCCAGTAAGTGTCTCAGCCACAACCACAGAATATGTATTAAAAAACTCTCAAAACCGAGAGTACGCAAGGCTGTAAGTTATATAAGGCGTCGTCATTTTGATAGCCAAAAGCACTGTGAATGGATGGATTGTGTTCCTGCTTTGATGCTGAATTGTACATTAAAGACAAACGTAGGCAGGCGCAACCACACATGTGTGTCATGTGTCATATCAAGTGGGAATAAAGAGAAATCTGAACAACCGACAACATTAGTACCGGCAAACTTGATGAATGATTTTAAGTTCTCTTCTTTACCGATATGTGACCTGATATTTTGCGGTTGTTACATACGTTTATGCAGGCGAAAAGCGGGACGTTGTAAGTTAGCTGTGAAAGTGACTTTTGGGACTGCAGACAAGTATTACTTGCTGGTTTCATCAGTAGTATTCGTCACTATATAACGGATAATACATCTAGCTGGTCTTCAACTGCTCTTTAATGCAGTTAACTTTTCCGATTCAATGCCAAGCTAACTATTCAGGCTTTAAGTTGGATATACTGTATCATAAAATCACAAGATATTATCCATATTGCTTTTATATAACTGCAGTTGGAGTTGGCTACCTTGAAGCTAAGGTGCTATTCTTCCATAGGACAATACTTACAAGGTCGACGGAAACTAGCAGGTATCTGCATCTGCCCCCATGTTCACAAGATCCATCTAAATAGCCTTCGGACTTTTGATCGAGGTGCTCAGAAGTGGAGTGTTTCACCGACCAGGGTTCCGCTCGTTGTATCCAGTTCACCGTAATGGAAGCTACTTCGGAGTCCTGTTTCAGTTCGTTCAGTGAAAGTTTTACTACCACTATAGACAGTCACATATAGCCGTGGCCTCAATTCTCTTACGGCTCGTCCGTCCGAGGACCGCAGTACTAACTCAGTCCAGCAAGAGTCAAGTATTTGCCTCAGACACTGTATGTCGAAAAGTTTTCAGCAACCTTGTGAGTAGTTTCCTCGATCAAACATAGACTGTCGTACCGGTACATTAGAGTTTCTCACTCCCATGCAAGAGGGCGAATAGAGCCATCAGCTTGCGGACGTGCACCTTGGTCTCCATCAGCAGGCTCTATTTCTCCCACACTTGTTTCTCGGATTTGACAAAGGTCACAAAAGTCTTAGCATTACAGGATGTCAAACTAACGGACAATGTGCTTCCGAAATAGCAGAAATCCTGGCAGTTGTCTACAAATTTTATTCTAGTTTTAATGCACGAAGTAGTATTGGGAACTCCAGCTGGTACGGGCTGGCGTGGAACGAAAGTCTTTTTCGCATCAGCACTTAAGCGAATTGTGTGGTGGCATTCAAACATTTTTCTCAGCACCTTATCATGTGCACTTGAAAACCGAACGCATTCGGTCGCATATACGAGGATGTGCCTCTTGTTCTGGTGGATCGGACCCCTCCCCTAAAATTTTTGATAGCAATCAAGCCGATTCCTAAAATGTACACCAGTATAGTCGTTTACGGAAGCCCTACATATGATTGCCGTTAGGTGGAAATTGAGGGGAGCTGGGGCAAAGACACACCCATGTTTTACGCAAGTGAGGATTTCGAATCAACCTGAGGCCAACCCATTCGTTTGCATCTTTCCCCTTATGTTATTATGTACGGCTGATAAATTTTAGAAAGACAGTCGTATTTAGAAAGGACTGTCCACAGTATCTCTTGGTTGGAAGATTCAGTCGCTTTTCTGAAGTCTATGAGTAGACTGTGGGACAGTTGTGAATTGTTACTAGAAGCTACTGTGCAGCAAATATCAGATCCGCTATGCTACGATCAGCCCAAAACCCGCATTGTTCTTCTGGGCTACGTGTCAATCATTTAAGCGGTCAGGCTGAATATCCCGAGTGCCAGAAGCTTATCCACGCAGCTCTGAAGGATGATAACGCTGTAGTAGCTGGGTGAGTTTCGGTCTCCTTTCCTTCTGCAGAGTGGTGAAATCACGATATTCTTGGGCTCTGATGGAGCTTTATTGTATTGCCAAATCACAGCACTCAGTCGAAAACTGTATTCCGTATAGGTAGAATCATCACACTTGAAGAGTTTGCTGCAGTTATGTATCCCTCATCTATCTTGCCACTCCACAGCTGCATTTGCGCCTGCCGGATCTCTTCGATAGTTAGGGGAAGGTCCAGAAATAGTTTAATTTGTCGCTTAGACAGCCTATCCATGGTAGCTTAGTTGGTGCTTCTCTGTTGTGTCAGCAGTTTTTTAATTACTTGGGCTGTATATCCCGTATTTCTGTCAGCAAATTCTGCTTCAGTCTGCTGTGGGCATCTTGGGGAGTTTGGGTCGGTTTTGTGCTTGGCTTGAGAAGTCTTACCGACTAATGTAAAATTCTTTCTGCCGCCGTCTATCAGAGAATTTCTTGATCCGTCATTTAGTCTCCACTATTCCATTTGTGCCGCGATCCTGTCAGCGGTCCATCCAAAAACCAGATGACACCGACACCTGAATACGAAGCGGCTTGAGGCGGCTTTGCGGAGTTTTTGCGCCCATCGATGCGGTGAATGTAGTGCGACTGACAATGCTTGCGCTTATTATTAGTAAGAACAAACTGTTGGTCTCTTACACAGTCGGGTCCTCTAGCCAATCATGTTGCGCTAGCTATTCGAACTCAATAGGTTGGATCAAATATGTTTACGAAATTCTCTGTTGAACACTCCGTCTCTATTAGCTTGCGTTCTCTGTGTTCTTCCTAGAGCTGTCATCCGCAAGTTGTGAAATGAACTCCTCACTCTCACTTAAGACAGTACACCGAAACATTGACGCAACGAACCTTTAATTTATTATGCGTTTGGTCCCCCAACATGACTCTGTCATGTGCTATGGATTCGGAATTAAGACGAATTTGTTTATAAATAACCTTGAAGGCTATCTGTCTCACCGACATAACACAGGTTTGTTTCACTGGAATGATGGTATTTATAGTAACTACTTTAGATTCTCTAAGGGTTTTCTCAGTGATTATCATACCAGAAATTTACCCAAGTGCCTGGCTAATTTTAATCTGATTTAAGTTCCGTTTCTTTACCTAATATGTATAGATTCACAGGCGTAGGTATACAGCCTGGTGACCAGGTGTAATGAGGCGGTTGGTAGTAAGAAACTTTGGATTCACCCTCAATGAATATTTAAAATAGTCGTAAAACACATTATAAGATGCACGTATTGCTTTATCAATTAGGTTATCAGTGCTTGTCACAGTGGCGTCGAACGGTAAATATTTTCACTCGAAGTACCTAGCTGCACGTAAATCACTTGGAGCGCTTAAGTCCTTCGGTCTGATGTCGATCGCTTAAGTAAATAACGAATTCTTAGGCCGATAATTTAGAATAAGTGGTAGCCATTCCTTACCGACAACGACTTCCTGTTTTTGCTCCATCGTATTTAAAGTTAGGTACTAATTTTTAAACGGAATGTCAGGCGAAATCTCTCATCTGGATAGCGACTTGGGAACGATTACGTTGTGTAAATCTTCTCCGAAGCCCACTACTTGGACAATATCTAAATTCCAAAACTTTCTGATTTGAATAAGTCAGTTATTTATACACCATCTCCTCAGGTGATGGAGTTCTTCGGATCCACTGAAGCAGGAGGACTGGTTACAATGACGCTCCCGACCGATATTGATGGTAGTCATGTGGGCTCCGTAGCGCCTGGAGTTCAAGTGAAGTTGATAAATGTCCCGGACATGAACATGGATGCCGAACGTGACGGGTTCGGAGAGGTAAATTGATTCTGGTCATACAGGAACTTTGTGAATACCGCCCAAACAGTATGTCCATATAATCTTATATTGACGATTCCATCTGCCATTGCAACGGTTAATTCGTAGTCCTCAGTATGTAGTGCTCTGTTCAGAGTTGAATCAATTTACCAAACGGATATGACCACAGAACTTAACCTACTCTGTTGTGTTGCTTGTCCTACATCCTTCCATAATTCTTTCTTCGGTTTACTGTACACAGCGCCTTGCAAATCTTTACATGCGCAGTTTGCATCCATCAGTAACACAGACAGATAAGAATGCACGGATCACGACGCTCATTCTGGATGGAGTCTTGCTCAAATCGATTATATGTCGCGTCTGAACCGCGCGGTCACTTGTTTAAAGTTCAGTAGGACTTGTCGCTTGTGGTAGAGTTGTACAGGGAAGCTGTGAACCTGTCATAGTAACGTGGTTTTTTGGTGATCAGCTGTTCGAAGGATCTATATAGTTGTATAGAACGATCGTGGGCCTCGATCACATACTGCCAGACATTGATTTTTCTATTTTATACCGCGATTTAGGTTGATTTGGAACCAGGAACTGGTACTTTGATTGTATATCTATTAAATTCCGTAACTTTGAGAAAATAAGCAAGTTTTAATTATTCACAATTCCGAATAGATCGATACACGTATTCGCTATGAATCACTCAACGTTTTGTTTTTCTAAGTCATTCTGAAAAATCGATTTGAACAGATAAAAGATGTTTCATCTTTATTTGGACTTGAACACCGATGGAGATTGGACAATTTGAATTTTTTTATTTCAGACTTCGGTTAGTTGATCAAAATGCTAAACGTACCTAGAGAGGCACACAGATAAATCACAAAAGTAAAATTCCATCTCTGATGCATCCCTATGGGCGGATTTGGGGTATCGCCTTTCTCGATACCAAACACCCTTGAAGGCTTAGGGATAAACTTAATAGATAGAGAGAGAGAATAATTGGCTATCCTATCGAAAATATTGATATTAGGAACGATGTGACATTTTACTCCGTTATCATAAGCGGGATAGGTTACGAAAGCTCGTTGATGATGCAGATTAGGTTGAGCTTCACACAACGCAGCTGCGGGAATATGCTGTACCAGGAATGAGAAATGAGGAATCTGGAGTCACCTTGATTGGGAATCACGGCCTGAAATACCGGGCCATTTTACTTTGGTACTGACCGATTAGATGGTTTCGTCATTATCGCTTGGTAACTTCGCACAAATTGACACAAGGCCTAACTTCAAATGTAGCTTGTAGAATAGAATGCAATAAAGGATTGGTTTTAGGTGATCTTAAACGTTCGGTTGAATACTACTACAGTTAGTGGATCCAAAGTAGAATGTGAGGTTGTTGGGAGCTTCTGGAAGGAGCTTGTATTCACTCGGCGACAAAGTACTACGCGGTCAAATCCAGAACGCATAAGCCGTATACTACATAGTCCTATGAAATAGAAAAGTTGGCTGAGGTACTTGAGAAGTGCCTTAATGTTGCTTAGATATAAGGAATTTGATTTATAAGACAAGACTTCGCAGGTATTTTCAGTACTTAGAAGGTGGCTTGTTTCTGGAAAGTGTCTACTGACCGGGATGTCAGTCTCTATGTTCTATTTGTGTATTCTTGCTCTTGGTATTTCTAGTTGCCCAGTATTGTGTGAAGTACTGTATGAAGTACTCGGAGGATTTCTTCTTGTTATGTTGGCTGTGTTATGCAAATGCACTTGCTAAGACAGCTGCGGATAGTCTTACATGCAACAAATGAGGCAGAATAGCTTCTTGATTACCTATAGCTCCTTGATTAAAACGGAGCTCACACATCTCTTATGCTGTATGAATGCAGTCTAAGTCTGTTTGTAACACCTGACGTGCCTTATCGCTATCAGCTTGCCTTCTTGTACCGTAAAAAAATCGTATTTTTTTATTCCATTCTGATGTGATTCTTTGGAAACCTGTTGGCATGACAGGTTTCGTGGGGAATAATTCTTCCCGCCCAGTAAATGCCTATCCTTACTAGTAGACACTCGGTACAGAACTCGGGACACATATACATTGTTTGGTTTATTTTAATTAGAGTTTTGTCTCTTCATTGCTTTCGCAATACGTGTGGAAACTAAGCCATCATTATTTTTGAATTAATATGTTAAGTCTGCGTTTATTATAGTCGAGTTCATGAGGTTAGGTAAATGGGGAATGCAGTTGGTCAGTTGTGCAGAAACCATTGCTAGGTAACGCTTCCGTCAGGTAACTTCGATGAATTCACTCAAAAATCTCTTTTAAAGTATTGTAAAATTGCAACAAAACACCAGCCAGTTGAATTCGACTGATATTTTACTACAGTCTCCTATTTGTAACTAATTCATTGTCTGTTAGTGAGTGTTTGGATGGCATTTTGCGACTGTATTTAATGGGGATCTAATTGATACAGATTACTTTTTCTGGCTAGGTTTGCGCGAAATCCGATGCGTGTACCATCGGATATTTCCAGGACGATGACAATACACAAGAACTGTTGGACGAGGAAGGCTTCATTCGTCTGGGTGATATTGGATGCTGGACTAAGGTACATTTCATATCACATTGGTTTCGCGCTTTTCATTCTGGTTGTCATTTAACGTCCTCGCATAAATTCAGTGGTAGCATTGTGGGACAGTTGCTCATTCCGTAATTTAGTTTACCTATAATATTTCATAGAGCCAGCTTAAGAACCCGAGAAACAATTGTCAACAAATGTGAGATTTTACCAGAAGATCCCCAAAGATCCATCTGCTACAGGCCATTATTCCTTTTCTGTTTTTCGCAGAATGGGGTACTTAAAATTGTTGACCGGTGTAAAAATGTGTTCAAACTGGCTCAAGGAGAATACGTATCACCGGAAAAGGTTGAGCAAATCTACGCACTAAGCCCGCTGGTGATCAACATCTTCGTGGATGGCCAGCCGCTGTACAATTTTGCCGTTGGTGTAGTCGTGCCAGATTTTAAGCAACTGCGCACTCAGTATTTAACACAGTTAATCGAGTTGTTTGGTGTCATTCGAATCGCGCAACTTGATATTGTTGAAGTTTGCAGGCACAAGGGGGTGGCAAAGCTGATTTTGGAAGATTTGGTCACAATCGGAAAAAAGAAGGGGCTAAAAGGGTTCGAGCAGGTAAGGATAATCTTACATGTTTATGTTGACTTTTGGTGTGCACATTCACTTCAATAACGATATTCTAAACTTACCGTCTCGAGTAATAATTGCCCGAGGAGTGGTATCAATTTCAAGAGCATCATACAGGCGAAGGCTGTCCAACTTGTTCGCCCAGACACTTAGGCTACAATCAGCGTGAAGCGTGATGTATTGGAACATCAAAATTTAACTTGAATGGTTGTTGTCCTAATCTGCCTTACCAGTTATTATTGGCCAGACCACTGGATAGCTGCGTAAAGTAGACAAGGGACAGACTGCTTGAGTAAGCCTATTTACGGTGCTGAAGGGAAGACCTTGATGCCGATGTTGACCAGAGAAGAATTGGAGTGTGAAAGTGCGGATATCTGATTTCCGCCACCAGTTGGCATAAACAAGTCGCCGTAATCATTGTCGTGATCAACAGTTACCCGTTTATGATCGAGGTAGCGGCGTCATTCTTCAATTGCTTGAATTTCCAAGGCGATCTGCATTCCTTCAGTATGTCAGCCCGGAGCACACCAAAAAAGAAGAGTCAAGGTGATAGTGGATAACCCATTAAACCTGTGGTTAACACTGTGGTGATCCATAGAATTACAACGTTAGGCAAGTGCTCTCAGAAAATGAAACCAATGTTCATCTGTGCTAGGTGGATTCCTTACCACATAACGTCGATCCAATGAAATCGCTTGGTTAGGAATTGATGTAAATCCCTATGTTGGAAGTTGGAATGAGATGATGAGTTGCACCCAAACAGCCTGCCTAACTTACAGCATTGCACTGAACTACCTTTTTGAAGATCTTCATGCCCAATGCTGATAGTCACCCTGCAAGCCGTTCCGTCGAGTAGCATGTCTTGCTCTCATCTAAAATTGAAGTCTTAGTTCTTTAAAACTTACGAGGATGCTGCCCCAACAACAAAGCCGAGAGTGTCCTCAGCTTCAAACTTCATTTGACAAATCACAGATGAATTGTTTTGAGATGTGCACTTCGCGCATTCGTTCTGAAGTGAACTCACTTGTGGAGCTGTGCCAGAGTGCAATACAATCCAATAATGTTTAATTTGCCGTGTTCAGGATTCTGCTACGTGACTTAGTTTGGAAGTTTTCGCGCTAGCGGTTGAAAGAACACCAGCCAAGATCCTGAAATTGTCCACATGTTTTCCAGATCTTTCTGTTTTAAAGTAGTGAAAATAGTGTAAGAGCCCAAAGCATAGCGAACGTGATGTCCGTACTCAAATAATGATTTATCCAGAAGCGTTTCTCAGACTGACCAAATACCGCCATGACTTGAGCAACTCCCGTGTATAGTTCAGTACTGGGTATCAAATTTCTGGATAGTGTCTCTCAGGATAGAATGAATACATGAAGCGCAATGTCTCAAAACCATCTAGCTAAAATTTGGGTGAGTGAAGTTGAACTCCGGGAAACAAGCATAAGACAGGTATTACGGGACCAGTTACACCGCAGCCAAAGAGAGATCATCCTTAACCGGGCGCCAAAATTCCACTTCAGAAAAGTTGCAGAAGTCTTTGACTTTGGTAGAAGGGTCTCTCGATCTAAGTAGACAGCCAATTTCGAAATTCTGGAGCGCCTCCACTCACAAGAGGTTTTATTCTGAGCTGAATACCGTCGATATAGATTTTCAGATCACTGTTCGAGTATTCATCTAGGTATGAAACGTTTTCATGTGACTGAAGAATTGGTCCGGGCGATCAGAACGTTCTAGGCAGATCCATTATGCTTCTCTAGTGACTGAGCCGCCCGACTCCAAAAATAGTTCTTACAGCGATTGATCCCATTCAGTTCTACGTCGATTGTTATATTTGTATTTAACAAGCGATAATTCAAAGCTGCCAGAACTTCATGGCGATTGTTGAAACCTTCAGCCGTTTTTTTGTAGTTCATCAGCAAAAGATGGTGGACTTTCGGTTTATAGGTTTCGTCATCATCATCATCATTGTCAGCTGTAATAACCGCTTACTTGTCGTACAGTGGTTGTAGCTGCCGCAGTTTCGTTCACCGATGATTTGGGGGGGACGGGTAGGTAGCTGCGCATTACAGGCGGTAGCTGATAATTTGGTGCATTGTCAGTGGGCTGTCAAGTGAAGGGGTGTTGGAAAAGAAGCTATGCATTGAAGGCAATAGCTTGGATGCACGATCGCCATTGAGAGTGCGACTGGGCCCTATCTGACAATGTCTCTGGCCATTGATGTGGCCCGTCTCGGGGTCCCCATCTAGGAAGACGGCAGTGACCAGCGCAGCTGAGTTTGCTGGTAATGGCTTTCATACTTCGCTGCCAAGTCATTGTTAGACCGCCTCTGGCTCTGTTCCACCCTTCACGTGGTTGTGAGGAAAGAGCCCTTCGAGGAAGTCGGCCGGCTGGCATAAGCAACACGTGGCCAAGCCAGCGCAACTTATGCAGTGTGATCAGTTCATCTATCGAGGGTGAGTTATTTCTTCCGAACACAATTAGACGTACTTCAGAATTGCTGATCCGGTGTTCTCACCAGATTCGGGCAATGCTCCGAAGGCATCGATGGTCAAACACTGAAAGTCTTTTGACGTCCTCGGCGCGCAGCGGCCAGGTTTCTGATCCATATAGCAATATGGAGCGCACCGCAGCATTGTAAAGTCGACCCTTGACAGAGAGGCTGATATCACGCCTACGCCACAGGTGACGTAGGTTCGCAAAAGCTGCTCTGGCCTTCCCAATCCGGATGGAAATTTCATCTTTCGTGAGACCACCGGGACTGATGCAGCTGGACAGGTAAACAAATTTGTCTACTACCTCAATTGGTTCATCCGCAAGCACGAGGCTAGGGTTCGAGTCCACCCAGTCTTGCAGTAGCACTTTACACTTTGCAGGTGTGAAGCGCATGCCGAACCGCGAGGTAGAATTATTTAGACTATTTAATATTGTTTGCATTACCACGGGATCAGATCCCAGACGAGCTATGTCGTCTGCGTACTCGATATCTGTGAGCGGAGGCCCAAGGAGGACTTCGACCCCACAGGCATTAGAGGCTGGTAGTGAGTCTTCCATGGTCGCATCAGTGACGAAGTTGAAGAGGAAAGGTAAAAGAGGACAGCCCTGTCGGACACCACTGGATGTGGTGAACTCAGGAGAGACCTTCCCGTAGACCTTTACACGGTGGCGGGATTTGGCGTACAGCACCTTATGTTTCGTACGGAAGACATCAAGAAGGTCTCGCATACAGAGGGTGATCCGCACACGATTATGGCCTTTCAGTTCGTCTTGTAAACCATTCGTACCTTGTTTCCTGCTGCTGTGTAAGAAGTTCGATCCTGGGCTTTTGTGTTACTTCAACGGTTCCATTTTCGCTCAATCCTGAACCATGTTGAAAACAGCCAGCTCATTCCATAGAACCAAGTTGAATATCAATGAATCGTCTCCAATTAACAGGTCTTGTTCATTTTCCTTCTTTGTTTCTGTGATATCCACCGTGGATATTTTAACATGTGTACGCGTTTGGCCCCAAGGGCATTCAGAGATTGTTGTAGACCGGTCCTTGCGTTAGAGGCTTGCAAAAGTTCCATGTGGTATTTCGGTTCCTCACTTTCTTCATATCTAAATTGAACAAGTTACCCATTGCCCGTCGACGCGTCCCTGAAGGGGACGCTTACTTCGGTGTGCACCAAAAAGTGATCCGTATTCGTTTCAGAGTACACGCACTGCTATCGTTATCCGAACGTAGATGTCTTAGGTATGTGAAAGTATGGTGGATCAGATGCCATTATCCGCTCCCTGGATTAGTTTACGTTGTCAGCGAAATCAGCTTCACACCGAAGTATGTATTCGCTATTGAAGATTCCAGTCATTAATCTTCAGTTGTTACCATTCACTGTCATGACTCGAGAGATCTGCAGTATCTTTTTCTAGGAATCCAGTTTGTTGCCAATTTGAGGACTGAGACTATCGAGTAAGAAGCCGGAGTCACTTGAAGGTCTGACACAAAATTGTAGAGTTTGTAACGTTTCTCATTTAAACGTGATAACTAATGTGAGGGATAGAAATGGGCACTGATGCGCGTGGCAACCCTTGCCCCCGACACTTGTGATTGGACAGTCGTCATCCTAGATTGGATGAGGTTTGCGTCGGCTTTATCCAGTGGAGAGCATAATCGGTGCAAGCCCCTACAGCCTCCCTAAGTCCAGCCTGGTCTGTCCTTGCTAACAGCGAGCAGTTTTTCTTTCGATTTTATCTCAACTGGTGTTATTCACGACAGTCTTCAAGATCCCTTTTCAGATTGGCGTCTGTGTCTTGTATCGAGGAATACGAAGTGTGGTCTGAGGAGAATAGGATTAGCTCGTGAAAGGAGCTCAATTTGAACGCCTCGATTCAAAGTCTAATCCGAGTAGTATTGGAATGAGATCTAGGCTGCGGTAACAGGAATATATCATTCCAGGTGCTTAATGAGCAGCAGGAACCTCTGGAATTCTCAAAGCATTCCATGTATGTTTGATAATAGACTGAAAGACACGCTCAGCCGCTTTAAGACAGGCGCGTGCTACTGGTCTTTTCTGAATACGCTTTTCAAAATATTTTCTGAATGAACAGTCTGTCCTCTCCAACTCAGCGGTATATGATCGAAGCCCTGATACCCGTTGCTTAGTGTACAGAGAGAGCCGTGAATGACAGTTTATCGTCGCATACAGTGGATGAAAAATGAGTTTTTTTTGTATTTGCTTACATTTCTGTCTACGAATGGCTGCGGTTATACTGTATTGGTCGTTGCTGAAGATACAACTCATGTACCGAAAGCAACAGCAGAGATTCAAGGGTCTTCAAATACGATAACACAAGTGGCCAACCAGACTGATCAGATTTAAGGACAAAGATAAATAGCCAAAAAGGCAAAACTTCCGAGGACACTAGGCAGTGAGCATAACTGGAACGGGCTATCCAGACCTCATTTTGAGAGAGTCATACCTAAATATATATTGCAGGTGGCTCACGTCATTGACCTCTTTCGAATCCCTTACGGTTATTCA